TCCTTGATCTCTTTCCTAATCTCTTGGAGAACCCTAAATATTAGCCTTCTAATTCCATATCATGGAGCCCTGGTAGCGAAGTGGTTAAGAACGCAGGCTGCTGACCAAAAGGTCGGCGGTTTTAATCCACCAGCTGCTGCTTGGAAACCCTATGGGGCAGTTCTATTCTGTCCTATAGGGTCGCTGGGAGTTGGAAGTGACTCAACAGCACACAACAACAAAAACAACAATTCCATATCAAGTAGTTCCAATGCCTTTTCTTCTACTGGAATGTTATTCAATTCACTATTTTGGTCACTTCCTGTTGCCATCTTGTTCTACTTTTAAAATATGTTTTATATTGCCTGCTGTCTCTGAGACATTAAGGTATTATTTTCTTTATTGTTTGTTCATTTGCTTCATCCTGCTTTTTTGTTTTGTTTTGGTATGTTAGGGTGGCTCCCTAGCCAAGTCAGGAAGTACTGGAGTGGGCATACAGGGCTGGACGATATAAAGAAAAGGAAAAAATGGCACTGTGGGAGCCAGCTGGTGGGGGCAGGGCAGAACCTAGTGGCAGTGGGCCGGTGGCTCTCTAGCCAACTGGCATAGCATGGCCTGCAGGAAGGCGTGTTGGTGGCATATCTGGCTAGGTGGGAGGGAGAAAGAAAAGGAAGAAAGGGGAAAAAAAGAAAAAAAAAATGGTGTGATGGGAGCTGGTGGGTGAGGCCAGGGTGGTAGTGGACCAGTGGCTCTCTAGCCAAGCAGTGAGGCATGGCCTGTCAGGAAGTGGTGTATGAGGCTAGGTGGGAGGGAGAAAGAAAAGAAAAGGAAGAAAAAATAAAATGGTGCAGTAGGAGCTGGGTGGGGGCAGGGTGGACCTGAGGTGGTGGTGGGCTGATGGGTCTCTAGCTGAGCAGTGTGGCATGACCCATCATAAAGAGGTGGAGGTGATGTACAGGGATAAGTGGGAGGGATAAAGAAGAGGAAGGGAAAAAAATGGTGCAGCAGGAGCCAGCCAGTCAGGGTAGGGTGGACCCAGGGTGGCAGTGGGCCAGGCGCTTTCTAGCCGAGCAGCACAGCATGGCCCATTGAGAAGAGGTGGGGTTGGTGTATGGGGCAGAAGGGTGAGGGGTGAGAAAGTGTGTTTCTCTGGTTATTGGGTTCTCTGTCTCCTGTTGGGAACTCTGTGAAGTTGCCTTCCTATACTCCCTGTCTGGTGTCCTTGCTGGCTGTGTTCCAAGATGATGATGCCATGTTGTGTTAGCTGGCAAGGGACTTCCACTCCATATCACTCCTCGTTCTGAGTTTTCCATTAGTTTCTTCTTCCATTCAGTGTTTGATCTAGTTCTTTATCCTTTCATTTGATGCTTAGGGTTCCAGAATTGATGTTAGTATGCGTTTTACTTAGTTTTTCGGGTCTTTGCTGCAGAGGGTTGACATGGTGTGTCCGTCTAAAGTGCCATGTTGGCTCTGCCTCCCCCCTTTATTTATACATTGTCAGTCACAGATGCTCAGTTTTATGATTCACTGTTCAAAACACTGCTGTATAGCAGGCTATGTGCTGGTCTATAATGAAGTTGGTATTGGAATTCATAACGGATGGAAAGTTGGGCAATGTTCAACTCTAATGACATACAACAATTGGACTGTGTATGTACCCAACAGCCACTAGGACTCCAACTTCATTGTTATGACACTGACACCAACTTCGTTGTAGACCAGGCCTATAGCGTGACCTTATTCAGCATTTCATACCATAAGAAACATCAGTTGTTAATTTGAAATGAACTATTTGACTTATGGCAGAAGTGACTTATGATGGAGTCGTCCAAACGGAACCATGTTGCAAGTCAAGTAATTAAATTGTGCGAGTGGCTCACGGCTTATTATTTTATAGTTATAAAAAAAGTACTGACTTCTATGACATTATGAATAAAATATTTATGGTTAACTATTTAGTCTTGATAAAATGGATCGCAAGATAGAATTTCTGTGTTTGCTATTCATCTGAGAAAGTAGTACAGCTTGGAATAGGAATTTACCCACAAAACTGAAATATTCTAGCAGTGACTCTATTCTTACACAATGCTGGTAAAAATGTGTTGGCATCTCACCACACTTAGGTGACAGACTGGGGACCTAATCAACCAAAAACACCAAACCTGTTGCCACTGGGTTGATTCCGACCCATAGCGACTCTAGAGGACAGAGTAGAACTGTCCTATAGGGTTTCCAAGAAGTGGCTGGTGGATTTGAACTGCTGATGTTTTGGTTAGCAGCTGTATCACTTAACCACTGCACCACCAGGACACCTGGGGACCTAAGAGGTCATGTTAATAACCTAGTTCAGTGGCTTCTTTATTTTTTAGCAATGAGCCCTCTTAGAAAGGAAATCTTAGGTGAAATAAATAAACAAAACAGATGGAGGAATTGTTCTCATTAAATCATAGAAAAGTGGTCCCCAGATTTAGAGGCTCAGCTTCCATATGTCTGGATCCCCAAGTTGTCCCCTCCTTTCCCTAGAACATGAGCAGAACACTGATCCAGCTGAGTAACATAATGTCACTCAAAAAATGTCAAAAACCATAGGGAAGTATTATTAAAAACCATGCTGGGAATTATTAAATTTTAATTTCAGAAAGTTTGCAGTTTCTAGAGAATATTTTGATTAAATATAAAGAAGTTCCAATTCCTTGTGATTCTAAGGACAATTCTAAAATATTATCAATATTTTTGTCAAATCTCTGTTTGTTCAAAATAATAGGATGTGACAAAAAGTTACTGGGAATATTGCTAGATTATGTTTCCTTTAAAAACTTATCATAAATGATCCTAACAGATTTAAATGAGAAAGTAATGTTTCCTCCTAATATTGTAGGAAAACATATAGTCAGAATCCAGACCTAGAGAAAGAAATTTAAAGTAATCAAACTCTTCTGTGTGAATCCTTTCACAATTTTGCCAAGGTAATTAGTTTTGTGAAATTGATATACTATTTTCCATGCCTGTTTTAGCTCCTAACTATATTAGAAATATAGGACGAATACTCCTACCTAGAATAATATTAATGATTCTAAAATAAAACACTAACTCAATGTTTTATACCAAATCAGTTAACACTCATTCCTTCATACTATGAAATTTCTGTGAGGATTATTAAGCAGTTTTCTGTGGGTAATTTGAGCTGGGAAAGGTTGGGGGCTGAGTCCATTCTGGGACTTCCTTAAAAGTGTGGCATACCCACAATACAGGGGAAACTAACACAACCTGTACAAGGAAAGGTCATGGAGGCCCCATGGACACATCCAAACTCCCCGAGGGACTGAGTTGCTGGAC